TTCGATATTTATCTGCATGAGTATTATAGTAGTCATAACCAGAATAGGTCAACTTACCATATTCTTTACAAGGTACATGTGGTGGAGAATCTCAGTGAACTTTACACCCTTCAGGCCTATAGCAACCTCGATTGCAAACTTTTCTAGTCCTAAGAATATAGGAGCAACGATAAAATGCCATGTTTATATGATTATGATATAATAATTATTATCTACTAATAACTATTCTTTAAAATTAATTTTCATTTTGAACTTTTTTTTCTGGAACAATATACTAGCAGTAAAATATATTTACTATGAGTACCCAAAGTGAACACAATACACCTACCCTACTACTGACAGATGCAATCAACATGCCTGCACCTCTTGTACCGATCCTTGAAGACTTGGAGCAATGTGGGGATACTTATGTAACAGGGAGCTTCAAGCCAGAGATAGAGGAAGAAAATAGTGGGGCGTTGTACCACCGGGAGTTTAAAGCCGAGAGCGTGGCTGAATATATGTATAAAATTTGTGATGATAGTAATTATTATGAATTTCTTGGTACAGATACCAAAGATGAAATAGAAGCTATACTTAGTGAACGGCAGGGGCATTCATTACACGAATTTATTGATGGTGATGACCCACTTCGCCCCTTTATAGATTTTGATTTATCTAAAAAAAAATTTGATAAAATTAAACCCAAGCTTAAGCTTGCAGCTAAAGAAATACGTGATTTACTTTATCGTGCCTTTAAAGAAGTGTGTCTAGAAATATATCCAGATTGGAATTGCAAAACATTAACTATTGCCAGTAGTAGTGACGAGAAAAAAATATCTCTCCATATATCAACTTTTGGTCTCCAACTCAAAAATATTGCTAAAGTTGCATCATTTACTAAACTTGTTCATGATAAACTTTCAGTTGGTTTACAAGAAGAAGGCATTGTCGATAATATTGCAAAAAAGCGTTCATTTTCTTTGCGAATGCTTGGAACACCAAAATTTATCGAAAAAACTAATGAGCATGAACAAGTGAAGAAAGCAATTTTCCCAAAGGATAGTTCTGTCTTTGATTTTATGCTTGGCACACCTAATGACGAGGCGCCAGTTATAGATAGTTCTATCTTAGATATTCTGAAGAAAAAAACATTAATCGAATATAGGAAAATGCCAGAAAAAATTAAAATCGATTCTGGGACAATCAGATCCGAAGTAGAATATATAGAAAAATTACTTGAGGAGTATAAAATCGAAGGTTTTGAAGTTTTATATTCTTCACTGACACTCCCAAATGTATTTCCCCTAAATCGCATAGCAGAATCTCAATGCCCACTTTGTAATCGGGAACACACTAGTGATAACGCATATGTAATCCAAAATAAGAAAACTTATTATTATTACTGTCATCGAGCAGATCAATATACGCCAGCAGGTACAAGAAAACCATTATTAAATCTTACTTTAAAAGTATCGATCTTGGAACGGGAAAACAGTCTTCCACTGCCAGAAAAAATAGAGAGACCCAGAATCTCAAATCCAAATGACCACTTTGTATGGGGTGATTTAATTCGTATATGCACTTCTAAGAAAAATTTTACTCAGAATGAGGTATATAATGCAATCTAGGCTACACTTGCTTGTGTGGTAAATATAAACGAACATGGATTCTTAAACACAGAAAACCGGATGGTAGATTATACTTTGGTATAGCACCTACTCTAGATTTTAGTAAAATAACTATTAATATAGTAAAACTCAGAGGAGAACCAATAAAATTAATCTCTTTGATAGATTGTATATATGACAGCAAGGCGATTATTTATGATAATATCGATTTCTTACCATATCCACCTAATATCGAACAACCAAAAAACGAAATTTTCAATCTTTTCTTAGGATTCAAGGCTAAACCAGTACCTCAAATTAATTATGATCTTGTGAACCCGATTATATAGCATATAGAAAATATCTAGTGTGATGGGAATAAAGTTCTTTTTACATATGTTCTCAAATGGTTAGCATTTTTAGTTCAGTATCCAGCAATAATTCCAGGAACAATTCTTGTTTTGTGTTCACCACCACGATTTAGAAAAAATATTATTACTGATTTTATTCGAAAAAGTTTATTCGGTCCAGAGCTTGTATATTCAACATCCGATTTAGGTAAAATTTTGGGAAAATTCAACAGTAGTATTCAAGGACGCAAACTTATAATTATGAATGAAGCAGGAATGTTAAGTGGAGAATGGCATAAGTTAAACGATCACTTAAAATCTCTAATTACAGAAAACTACGTCTCAATTGAGCGAAAAGGTCTCAAAAATCACGAATGTGGCCATTTTCCTGGATTTATAGTATTAAGTAATCATGATGCCCCAATTCATGTTGAGCAAGGAGATGGTTGTATTGTATGTTTAGATGTTTCACCTCAATGTAAAGATAATTTTAAATATTTTGGTCAGTTAGGAAAAGTTCTCAACCATTCCGATACACCTGGATCTTTAATGAGTTATTTACTTGATCAAGACCTTTCAAATTGGAATCCACAAGAAAATATTCCTACCACTAAAATAAAAACAGAGACAATGCGTGAGCATCTCCCAAACCCTATCCGATTCATAATTGATCATATTTCGGTATGGTCAGAAGATCAAATTGAAAAACCAGGCTGTGCTATGTTATATTGGGAGTATCGTACATGGTGTGAAGCTAATAGCAAAAAGCCATTCAGTAATAATAATTTTGGGAAAAAAATCTCACAGGTTAACATTGAATGAAAACGTGCTGGTGGTGAAAAAAGAGAATAGCAGCATATCCTTGATCGTTCAAAAATCGTGGCCAAGCTACATGAATCAGTAGATGATATTGAAGAATTTTCAAACTCACCTCAAACTGAAATATCCACCAATGCATCCACAAATATTCCTATATTCAATGTCCCAGAAATCGTAACTTCTGAACCAAAAAAATAAAACCCACCTCATCAAATACTAATCACGTCGAAAAAAGTAAGAAAACATCCACCTTCCCTATTCCTGATATGACCCAGGATCTCTTTGATTCTGTAACAAATGAAAGTTCAGTTGCTTCGTTATTCAAGTCTACAAATATATCTCTGCCTCCCGAGATCGTGAATGTAAAACCTGTAGACAATAAATTTAAATCTTCTGAGATCTCTTCCGACTTACTTGTAAACAATGAACCAAAAACCAGTAACGAAGTATCATCTCAGCAAATATCATACCCACCCGGATATCAAACCAGGGAGCAACAAGAGGTACGTCTTCATGAGAAAGCTATCGAACTTGGTGAAAATCCTGACAAATTCGTTACTATTACTAAAAAAGATAAGCTCGATTCTGTCACATTCCGTGACAGAATGCAGACTAATGCGAGAATGTGTGGTTTTGCAAAGGAGGTCTAAGAAGACCCCAGTGAATATATGGATATGACAGTGCGAGAAAAACTAATAAGTGAAGAAATAATCTGTCGTTCTCTCGAGGGAGATGGAATTACCTCATCATGGCTGGATACTGATGAGGAATGGAAAAAACGATTAACATACTCCAGGAAAATAGTATATTATGGTAATTGTTTAGTCGATAAAGAGCGAATAAGGTAAATTTCGCAGGTAGAAGCTTTGATATAGGGAAATTTTTGCTTCTACATATAGGCAATATAAAATTTTCAAATTAAAATATAATGAAAACTCTGTTCTTTATACCAATATACTGGTTTTTGTGAGGCCTAAAAATAATATTTGGTTAATTTTTCATTTTCGAATTTAATTTTAAATATGAAAGTGAGAATAATATAACCACTTTGTGAATCAAAAATGCCTTGTAATTGGTTATTAGTTGGCTAAATTATGTAAAAACCCAGCAAAAGGACAATATTGTGCTACTCATGCATTCAAGATTCGAAAGGGTATAATAATTCCACAACCCTGAAAGGATGTAGTCAAGAGACTAAATCGAGCCTTTAGCTTTGTGTCCCGTGTGGCCAAGGTAGGGAAAGAGCGTATAAATATTATAAACAGAAAAATAACTAATTAAACTTATTATTTACATAAGTAACAATCAACTATTATCATTTTCATAACTATATACCACATTAATACAACACAAAAATGTATATCCAAGAGCCAGAATATAATAAAGAATTCAATGAACCTGAAGAAGTGCTTAATCTCTCCACTAATCGTTGGATTAAAAGGAAAGGAAAATTATATAATAGATTGTTACGTGAAGGATATAAATATGCCAGAGATCTTACGCATTATTTAGAAGATATTCCACCAATCGATTTAGATGAATACGGTACAATCTACCCCCCTAGCTGACTTTTATTATCCTGCTCTGATACCACCCCTTTCTATTTTAGCCCGAAGAGGAGACATATGTGGAAGATGTCCGATTACTATGTCATCTATTGTCGAAGGAGGAATGAGTCTTTTCACTATAGAAAGAAATAGAAAAACGTCTTTAGATAACTTGATCGAGATGAATTACTCTAGCTTAACTGCATTATTAGAAATGTGTTAGGATAGTAATAAAGCATGCGAATGGAGAAGTGTTATACTTATGAAATTCCTCCATCATCCGAATTTGATTTCCTCAAATATAGTCCAAACGCCTTATATGATGCATTCACCAAGGTAAACATTCTAGAGCCAGAACATATATTAATTCTAGCTTGAGCAATATACTAAAAAATAAAACACAATATACAATTAATATAGCCTAGGATCCTATCTCCAAAGCTATAAATTTTTTTTGTTATATCCTATATGTTAGTAAATTTCAAATCAACATACTACTCTTGCTTATGAAAGTATATAAACTCTTTTTTTCTAGATATAGGAGGAAAAAGTATAATTAATTTCGATTTTAAAAAATATTTTTTATAGTATATATAACCTAAAGAACTGCTCATAATCTACCTAACCTATTATAACATTCAATCATATCAGCCATTACAACTAAAATTGTTGAAAAATACAATATTAGCTCTAAGATGGGTATATTTGATCTCAGTCAATATACTTCAGAATTTCTTGAAAACTTTACCGATAATAAGAAGTGGAATCAGGCTTGCAGACGCCTTCGGAATGGTTTTAAATTTAGCAGTGAACAGGTAGATATATTGATACCTAATCAGAGAAGTGAGAAAAATAAAACTATAAATTTGGTTGAAAGTAATTGTAGAATAGCAATAACCAAGCTCCCAAAAAGTTTAGAAGAAGAGATCGTCAGAGAGAAAGCAAAACAAATCTTGCAAAATAGATATGGGTTTAGTGAAGATCAAGTAAATGCCTTATTCACAATCCTGAAAAACGAAAGTAGACACAGTGTAACTACCTCAGATAAAAAATGTAAATATTGTAATCACCAATCAACTTTCTAAAGAAATGGAGGAAGAAACAATTGGGGATATGGCGCAATAGATTTTATGGGATAAACTTAGCATTAGAGATGTAAGAGCTAAAGCTTATGCCTTAGCCCTATTAGCAAAAAATGCTAATGCTGGCTCATCACATCTCACTCATCTTCGTAGAGAATTAAGAAACCTTAATGCATCACTTGAGATAATTAAGGTTACAAAATTTTCAGATATTACAAAAGATGCCAACAAAATCCAGAGTGTCAATTGAAAAAAAGCTGAAGCTAAACGTATTGATTATCTAGATGAATTTACATTAGAATCAGTCAAAGAAAGATTAGATATGTATGATATTAAAACTTTACCTAATTGTCAGGCTCTTGCTGATGTTATGGTGATGCTTTGTATTTGTCCTGCTGAATTTAAAACTTTACGCATTACAGATGCTAGAGTGACAGGATATGCGAAGAATCGAGGTTAGTCAAATATTCTCAGAAAATTTAGATCAATGGAAAAGAATCAAAAACAAGCCAAAGAACTACTCACTTGGATTCAGCGTGCTATATCATCTGGACAAATGGGTGATCCAGGTAAGCCAGAAGTTAAATGGTTCAATAAATTCTTAAAAGATTATGATTTAATTCCTAAATATTTACGTAAATTAGAAGCAGTTTACGATGCAGTAGCACATGGAGCTAAGAATATGGCCTACGCTTATACAATTGCTAGAGAATGTCTACGTCATTTATCTGATAATCATACTTTTCCTGTGCAAAATTACATTGTAGTCAATTATAGAAAAAGAGGTATTCCTTATAAGCAAGCAAGACGATTTCATATCTATGATCAAGATTAATTGTGCTTCTTCACTTTTATCATATCTACAGTAAAATCTTCATTATCATAAAAGGATTCAGAGCCAGATTCAGATTCAGATGAGAACTCAGATGTGGTATCATTTAAAAATCTCTTTTTTCTTTTAGCCTTGCATGGTGTATGATTTCTTCGAGGAATATCCGAGTTTGCTATCAAGTTTATAATATTCTGCTGAATTTCGGGTTTTACTATTTTCAGTAATCGGTGAAGAGAGATCCAGATTTTTTTACCTGATACCTGTTTAGTAATATGGGATACAGTTCTATCAGCTTCAGTCATTGTAAATGTTAAATTATTTATTAATACTAATTTAAAAATACGCCTAAACTAATTATTCGAACATTAGTTATTTTTTCGATTAAAGATATATAATATATATTCTTAAGAATAGTGCAACTAAATATTTTTGATTTACCAGAATTGCTAGAACAGATCTTATATTTTCTAGAAATCCATCAATCTCTCTATTCCACTTTATTTGTTAATCATCTTTGGTATTACTATGGTGCTCCTATTCTATGGTAACGCATTGAGTTTTTCAACAAAGATTATTAGCAAAGATAGCATGCCCTAAACATGTCTTGGGTTCTTATTCGGCGATTGATAAACTTTGAAAGAGTTATACATAGAAAAATAAAGCCAACCTATTGTGCCAAGATGGTATATCTCAGATTGGAAGGTTTAAAAATCTCAGATGCATTGATTAGTGCGATTCTATGCTCATGTCCAGATATATGCTTTCTTATTCTTGATAAAAGTAAGGGTTTCACTAATATACTAATTATAGAAATTGCGAAATTTTCTCCAAAACTACAGTATCTGAGTCTTAATTCATGTATATGTCTCACTAATCGATGTATCACTGAAATTACTCGCTCATGCTCAAAACTTAGACATCTTGAGCTTGGTGATTGCTCGATTGGTAATGAAGCTATCGAGAAGATAGCCAGCAACTGTACTAATTTGAAATATCTTAGTTTGAAGGGGTGTAGAAGGATTAGTAATGAAGTGCTGAAAAAACTCAATCCGAAAATTAAAATCAAACATCCAGATTATTCCGATGATGAATTCTCTGATTCTGATTTACCTCCACTTATTCCAATCTTTACTGGTAGACAAAATGGGATAGCTATAACCAGGTCCTTTAGAGACTACTATTTGAGTTATACATCAGATAAAACAGATCTTATTTCTGTAATTGTTAATTATCTCAGAGAGAATCCTCCAACGTAAGTTATAAATAATTATATTTATTACTGAAGAATGGGTAATTATTTACTAAGTTATTTTTTCGCGGTAATATACATTATTAAATATACTTAATATGTTTATAATACACTCATAGAGGGGAAAATCCCAGTAAAAGCATTAATTGATATATCGTCAAAGTTTAATACCATTAGCAAAAGCTTGTTCGATAAGCTTAAAGAAGATTATGGAATATATAATCCTGTTGAGAATCTCTATGGGAATGTAATAGGTGAAATAAAATATTTAGATTTGCAATTTTGTTATAAAGGAAAGTAGCGAAGTTTAGATGGTACCGAAGTAATAGACTTTCAAATTTACAAAAATCCATCATTCGATTTGGTATTAGAGAGAGATTGGTTATGGATGCATGAAGCAAAAATAAGCTTTGGATATTCTCCCAAAACCTGTGTCTGCTATGCTAAAATTGTAATCGATGATATGAGTATCCCATTAATCGAAAAAAATAGTAATAAAGCCAGCTCTAGTAAAAATAACTTATCTTATTCTGAAACAGAAATCGATAAACCTGATCTTAATTTAGAAAAGTTTATAAATATGTTTAAGAAATTATCTATAGAGACTAATTTATCCAGTTCCGATTCAGAATCCACGAGTTCAGACTGGTACGATCTGATTTAAAAAACCCTGAAAGAAACGTATCTATATTACAAAGAAAAAGGTTATTTCTCCTAGCCGAAAACATTGTAGAAATAAGCCAATTAGAACTAAGTAATCTTTAATCCAGAAAATTATTATGGGTGGAATCAACATAGAAGTATTTCAGAGAAATGACATATTACTGCACTACATTACTGCATTGCAGGCCCCGAAAGGGCAACCCTAAAGGGTCAAAATCATGTAAAAATAAAATACGGGAAGGCCACAGGACCCTCCTTCTTTATTTAATAAAATTTTTTTTTACCAAAATGGAAACATACAAATAAAATAATACAAATACAAATAAAAAATCAAAAGCCATAGAAACTATGAGGTTTTATTATTTTTAAAAATATTAAAGGATTGATACCCGGATAATTACATAGAATTTCATAATCAAGAATTATACCCACACCAGATAGTTTTTTTTGATCGCTTTTTGGATTGGAGTCATTAGTCTTGGAAGCATTACTATTATTGGTCTTGGAAGTAATGTTATCATTGGTCTTGGAGGTATTGTTGGTCTTGGAAGTAGTGTTATTATTGGTCTTGGAGGTATTGTTGGTCTTGAAGGTGGTACTATCATTAATGCTCATTTTTTGTACCTAAATACAAAAAACAAAGTAAGCAAAAATTCGTTTTCATAGTCTCCATTAAATAAAATATCAAATTACTTAAAAAATAAATTATGGGCAAGTGAACCAAGTAAATATATATATGAGCAAAAAATAATGTTATTGCTAACTTATCTTAAGGTGAAAACTTGCTTATTTATACCGTCTATTTGCTAGATCTAAAAAACCTGGCAGAAAAAAAGTTACATGATTAGTAATTGCAGTAGGGTAACGCAATCTAGATCCCACCATGAAAAGCAAGTCTATTCGGTCATAAGTTCCAAATACTAAATCTATTTTGTCACTTTTCTGGTAAAATTAGCCCCTTATAATCGACGATCTCTCCTGTAATGAAAAAAAAGTTAACGATCTCGGAGATTGCGGAGATTCGAAGTCCCTGTAACATATGAATTTGGATAAAACTACTAATAAATAACGTTGTACTCTTCCCTCTTATAGCCCTTTTAAGCCTCATTCGTCTCTTTTTTTATAATAAGATCGTGTATAATAAAGCTTCTAGTCGTTATTCATTTAGTAGCTGTTAACAAAAATCGATCATGAGAAATGATTCTAAAAGAGAGTGACACCACATAAAATTTAATGCAGGCCATTGATTATTAAAGCCGGTCAAGGTTTTATCGCTCATTCGAACTTGCCTTCTCACAATACTTTAGAGAAAAAAAAATCGCTATTTTAGCTTTGACCTAGACCAAAATAAAAGCGATCCCACGGGTCTGTTAACTTGCATTATACAATGTAACATAGTGTTATAAGCCGAAATGCAGCTAGTCGACTAAGTCGACTTAGTAGTCGACTAAGCCGACGACTTAGCCGATGATTCAGTTAGTTGACTATTAGTCGATTGACTAGTTTAAATATTTTTTGTTATTGTATCGGCTATTATGCATAACTTATTTGTGAGACAGGGCACAAGTAGAAATTGCCATTTTTCATTTTTTGACTGGGCGCCCTGGCTGAAATTAGTCCCTAACCAAAGTCAGTCAATTAACTCATGCCCACATACTGCACATATCGATATCAAATATTTTTAACTTTGTTGTATACATTAATATTGGTGCACATCCATCAGTTAAACATTGACCCAATATATTTATTTCAGTGGCTAAAATTCCGATTCAGTTAATTAACACATATATCGATATATAAAAATCTTTCTGATAAAAGCATTCAGCAATAACATACATAATCGTGATTTATGTATTTTGCTTGAAAATTTTGGCTGTTCCACACATTGTAGCTATTGTAGCTATTGATATTGCATTCATTTACATTGACCCAATGTATTCTCTCCGAAGCATGTTTAATG